ATACTTCCCTGTTGGCCTTGCTGCGCTGCTTCCTCGGTTTGGGGCTCTCCTTATCGCCTTCTTTCCTGTGTGAAATTGCTTTATTACTCTTTGGGCAGAAAACATCCGATGTAAACATGTGCTGTTAAAGTAGATAAGCTGTGGGTTTTGGCAGCAGTGCCCCGTTGTACGTTGTAGCTGTGTATGTATGCGGTGACGGCCTGAAGACAGGGGTGATGACAGCCTCTGAGGTTCGTGGGCTGCTGCTTGGTGTTTTGTTGGCAGTATTTTGAAATCTAAGCATAAGCACAGAAGTCTGAAAGTCCGCTAGGAATCTCTCATTCAAGGTAGAAGCAGAAAATGCACGTCATTGTGGAGTGTCAGTGACTTCTGCTGCCTGAAGAGTTTGAACTCTAGGAGTGTCTGAAAGGAAAGGGTGGTGCTTGTATGAAGTGAGGTCTGCTAAGTCTCTACTTGTAGGACAGCAAAAGTGCAAGAGACAAAAGCTGAGGAACTGCAGTGTCCTGTTTTGTACAAGACAAGAAGGCTTCCCAGCTGTAGAATTACAGAAAGCTGCTCAGAATGGTGATGGTGACACCTGAGAGCTGATGAAAAGGGACTGACTCAGAATTAGCAAATAGGAACATGAAAAGGTCTCCACTATGAGAAGTATTCTTTCTGACTTCTCAGTGTGTATTCCTTTATGTTTGCAATCCAAAAAGGAGTTTACTTTGCTTTCTTAGGCAAGTGTTTTATTGCTGCAATTATCATCTCTGCCTCCTTTTAGATCTTTCATTATCAATCTGTTCCATACCCAACAACAACGGGCAAGTTCAAAGACAGAATATCCTGGATTGGGAGTGTGGCCAAGGGTGATGCTTCCATTGCCATCCAAAGCCCGGCGATAAGTGACAACGGGACGTTCATCTGCAGCGTGAAGAATCCTCCGGACGTGTACCATAACATTCCCCAGACAGTGCTGATTGTTACGGAGAGGGGTAAGCCTCCGCTTCAATAGCGTGTCCTTGTCTAGGTGATACTGCTGCACTGCAGCTTTGTCAGAGTGTTTAGTGGGTTCCATGTTAGAATTTCATCAAGAGTTACCTCAGCCCTTCTTTCTGAGCTAAATACATTGAGAACTATGTTTTACTACTGGTACAGCTGGGCTGCTCTTTGTCTTTCCTGCAGGTCTTTCCTTCCAGCTAACTTCGGCAGTGCTGCTGTCCATTTTAGTCTTTCTCCCTTCTGTCGTTGTGGTCGTTCTGCTGTTGGTAAGGATGGGAAGGAAATTTGGAGTGCTAAAGGAGAAAAAAAAGTTTGGCTATAAGAAATCATCCATCGAAGTGTCTGATGAGTAAGTTCTGGCTGTGGAGCCTAAAGCCTGTATTTCTATTTTGACTCAGGCCAAAGAACAGCTTCTGCACTGTCCTTCTTTACATCATTTTCTGCACCTGCAGCTCACTCCCTGAAATCCACTTGTCCCTGAGCCAGTAGTCGGAACCTTTTGGAAAATCCCCACATTGGAGCGTGCACTAAGTGCTATATGGCCTCCTTTTTCTCTGTTTCTTTCATTGGAACTGGAGTGGTTTAGGGTTCAACAGTCTTCCACTTCTGTAATCAGAGGTATTTCTGGCTAAATCAGCAAGATATTTTGCTTATGTGGGCTTTACGTGCTGCATTTTGGTGTGAGGTATCCCTAACGACAAAACGAACTGGATAACGCTAACTGGTTGCCCTGTGACAGCCTGAGCAGAGATGCCAGGCACCGAATAAACCTTGGGGACTGAATTCCCTCCTGAGCTGGGGAGAATCCCCTTCAGGAAAGGGTCAGTAGCGAGAGCAAAAAGGTAAAGCTGCTACTGCTGGAGCTGCACCCATTCTTGCAATGCATTCAGTGCTTCGGTTTCTTGCAGAATGGGTTTTCAGTAGTGAAACACCTGCCTTCAGAATAAGGGTCCTGATGTCCTTTATTCTTTTTGGCTTTGCTGTGCAGAGTCAAAGGCTTCTCATCACCAAGAGCAACCCTTCAGTTCAGTGTGGTACAACTAGAATACACAGACCATAGGAGATGTTAGTGTGTGTGTTGGGGGAAAAGTCCAACCTAATCCTGCGCTTTTTCTGCAGGCCTGAACGTACAGAGACAGCCAGCTGCTTGGGGAAACTCAGAAACTGGTGTCTGAACTGTGTGGTAAGTGGAAGCTGGTGTTCTCATACGTGGTTTTGGCAACTTGGGAGCTCGGAGGAGAGCTGAGAGTGGCAGGTAGAGGTTGTGCTAAAAGGTTCCCCTTACCTGAAGGGCAAGTCATCTCATGATCCACCAAACTAATTTTTTGTTTGACTTTATTAAAATGAAAGCTGTCATTTTAAGATGAAAATGTGGAATTCTGAGTGTGAGCGGCTGTGCTGTACAGTTTCTTTAAAGGCTCTGCAAACCCCTCTGGTTTGGGGTGTCACAGTGCTCCGGTGGGGAACGGAGGCAGTGATACCTCGGTCCACTGCATTTCCTGCAAAGATGGTAGAGTGCAGCCTCACCTCTCTTCTGGAGATCTTCCTGCTTACACACCTTTCATAGCAACAGAATTGTGCTCGTCTGGTGTGGATTGTTTCTGGCTTTCTGTCTGGTTTGGTTTGTAAAGTGCTGGTGGTCTTCTAATTTTGCTTGTTCACTTGCTACCCTGCCAGCAAGCCTCTGGTCATTGGATGCGTTGTGCTGAAACCGCGGAAGGTTTTTCCACCTGCTGTAGTGGTTCCATAAATGTGCTGCTGAGTTTTGTGTGCTGGCATTCGCAGCCACTGCCTGAAGCGTGACACATTCCAGAGTAAGCTCACCAATATGCCCGATTTGAGATTGTTTTCATTTTTTCTCCAGTGTCCTGTAGAGTCACCTTACTTCAGACACACCTTTACATCTTCTGCATGTGGTCAGGAAGTATGTTAAGGAGGATTTAAGTACGTGTTGCGTGATTGACTGTGCTAAGGTGATTTAAGGTGTACTGAATGGAAGTGCCTTCAGACAGCCACGTGCTGATGGGTTTTACACTTTGCTGGGAACAGAATGAGAAACGAGTGATTGTGTGAGGTAAATGTGAAGTATTTACAGCTGTGTGCACGAGAAGGAGTGGTTACAATGCAGGGGTGCTGGGAACAGGAGTCTTGAGACGTGTGGGAAGCACAAAATGTGCAAAACCAGAGAGTTGCCACGCGAGGTGGAAAGGCGGTGACGTGCTGGAGAGCAGGGCGGCACCATTACTTTACTACAGGTGGAGGGATGGGGAAGGATGGGAGCCCCACTTTAGTGAGACAACTGCTGTCAGTCTGTTTGAGATTTTAAAAATTGAAAGGTGTTGTCCACTGAGAGAAGGCAAACTTGAATGCCATAATCCTGCTGCTTTCAGATTGAGGGCTTTGGCATGTTTGGTAGTTTGCTCTCCGATATAGAACTATTGAGCTTACCAGGTCTCTGAACATCCCGCCTTGCTCACTTTAGTGATTGTACGTTTTTGAGGTTTCTGTAACGTCTTCTTTCATGCTCGATATGTTACCGAATAATTAAAACTGCGGAGCCAGCGGAAATCTCTTTGGACTTAAAATGGCTGGGCAATTCGTGAGATTTCCCTTGTGGAGCTGTTACGTTTGACTTTCTTTCAAACCCAGAGTGGCAGAGCTGGATTGTGGGGATGGTATCAAATGGTTCGTGTATTTAAAACCACAGGCAATGGGGATCTGAAAGTACGTGGTTTGTTGAGGCTGAAAAACAACAGCTCGTGCTGCTCTGGACCTTCTCTGTAGGGATTGCGGGTGCTTTTTAAAGAGATGGCCATCTGCACTTTATGGTTCATCTTTCGCTTGAGCTTTAGCTGCTGCTTCTCTTAGAACACGTCACGTGTTGGTTGTACAGTGGCAGTTTGTTTGTGTGTCTGTGGAAAGCCAAAGACACTGGCCTGCAAGTGCTTAGACAGCTCCAAGTCCTGTGGCTTACTCAGCACAGCAGCACTTGGGAAAGCGTTTAAGCTCCTGTCGGGAGCCTAGCAGGCTCAAAATGTTGTTGAACTCGTAACTCGTTCGTGTCTTCACGCACAGTCTCAATTTCTCTCTCCATGCTCCCCGTTTAGGACACAGATGAGGAAGACCTGTACTGACAAAAGACTAAAGCCATGGATAAAGAACAAAATGACAGCCCTGCAAATCCCGGCTAGATAGGTATGGAGGTGCTGGCTAACCAGAGCAGACTGAAGGACATGCCCTAGGCTCGGTAGCTTACAGGAGGAATGCACTTTTATTTAAGCACAAAATGATGTTTTGGGAAATTGTTCTTATTTATTGGGGGCAAACATTATCTCTAAACCTCACTTGTCCAGTGCCTGCAGAAACCTCGGTGCCTACAGCTGTGCAGCCGTTTCCTCCCAGCAGCCTGACAATGCGTTTTTCCCAGTCGATTTGCAACTTTCTTTCCTTTGTTATTGATGACATCCCTCCTGTCTCCTTCCCTTAAATTTGAAGTGCCTGAAGCGCAGACTACTCCAGACTGAAGTCAGCTCTCTGAGGTGATCTGTGCTGGGCACTGACAAGGTTTTCTTCTCAGGTTTTTGGGAATGTATTTGCTGAGGACTTAAACCAGCTTCATTAAGTGGGTATATGGCCTTCTTTGACTTGGAGCAAAGAGCACCTACTGCCTTTTAACTTTCTGGGTTTGTTGTGCCACTTAATTAGCAGATCACCATTTTATTCCTGTTTTAAGTTGCCGATTGCACAGTTAAATTTTTTTCATTATTTGTCCAACAGCTGCATTAATAGATACCTCTCCTTCTACTTGTGGAAGTAAAGGACAGTTCATATAAACTTTTTTAAAAATCAGAAATGCTAATGGGGACTCTGGGGAAACACAACCCCATCTACCTCGACCATTGACTGCAGCAGTGACCAAAGACTGTTCTGTGTCCACAACAGTCATGCTCCTCTTCTAGGTGCCGTTTTAGGGAAGCAGCTAAACATGAATCGTTAGTGCCTGGGGAGGAAGAGTACTTTCTCTTTTGCCAGCCTTGCCCATTAACGGGTGGCAGAGAGCAGTGGGAGTCGTGTCTGCTCAGTACCCGAACAGCTGCTGTTTTCCCCTTGCTTTCCCAAGGCGGCCTTGGTCAAATAGTCTCTCTCTACAGACTTGTTATAAGTTTACTGTTGGCTTTGATGTGCCCTTGCCAATAAACTGCTTTGTTTCATTCTGGGCTGTGGATTTCTTTATTTGCCTAAGTATGGCTAAATATAGTTGTGCTCCTAAAACTGCCATCCTGAGTTGTTGCCTCGCTTACAGAAACTGTCATGTGGTGATGGTAAAGGTGTTTCGGGAACATACTTAACTCAAAAGTCCCCCTTTAGCAGCTCTGGGATGCCTGCCAGGTACAGGTCTGTTGAAGTTCGTGACTGCAAAGCAGGTTAGCTGTCAATCTTGTCTCCAGGTAAATAAATACATTTTTCTCCTGTCTACTATAAAGTAATCTTTTAAAAGCCGGTGCTTCCTGGTGACACAACGTCTCTCCCAGCCAAAACTTTAATGAAAAAGGATGTTGGTGGTATGTGCAGCTGAGGGGAAGTGGCTTTGTTGTTCCACTTTCAGCAATATGTCACTCAAGTTCCTTGTGGGAACGACTGTCTCTTCAGCA